AGGATAAAGACGAGTGTTTCCATGAGCGAGCCGCGTTTAGATATCCGAGTGAAAAATATAGCATCACAGTGGCGTTCTATCATAACATAAGAACTGCACGAAATACTAATTTCTCGACCCCCTCCGTTACCCCCCACAAGACCCCCAAATTACCCAAAATGGGTAATTTCATCCCTATGAGAACCACTGGATTAGATTGATCGTTCGTTATTCTGAAAATTTAATTACTGATGGATGAAAGAATGCATGCGAACAACTACAGTTTATATATCGCAATAACCCAAAATGCATACTTACGAGTTTAATAAATTATCCATCCTTCCAGTCATGAATCTATCAAAATTGATCGTTTTTGTCAAGTAGCTGATAATCTCAACTGAAGAAGATCCTTCATTCCAATGCAAAAAGTAACGAACATTACTCATAATGTTGCTTTCTTTAAGGCACGTAATTTTTCATAAATTCATCTACCTTCAAAACATGATGAAGATTGTCGTTGTACTTGTAGCTGTTCACAGTGTTCGACGACGAATGCTGCGAATACAAAGAATGCAGTGAACGGTTGTAGTAGGATAATCATTGAACGTCAACGATCCTAATCACTACGCCACCTGCTTCTTATATACTTGTTGCTTATTTATCACCTTCATTCTTCATTCAAAACCTCATCATAAACATGTTTGTTTTGCCTTCATCGAATAAACTCCAATCACGAAATCGTTCCATACACCACCAGTATTTTTGTACTTTTCGTTAAATGAACAACAACAATACTTAAGGTTGCATTTCTGAGATTCCATCATGAGGAATGATCAGGCAACTTCTCAACGAGTTTAATAATGTTATCAAGATTACTCGACCAATGCATAAACAGTTTCATTTAAAATTTTTTATCGACATTTCTTGGCAACACTGATGATAATTGTAATTAACGAAAATAGTTGCAAGAAACAAAAGCGAGTTGTTGACCTTTAGAACAACCGCAAGTACAAATCAACTTTTCATATTCTCACTTATTGTTAATAGGCAATTTCAACAAAAAGTTTCAAATTCGTCAATCGATCTCTTCATCTTAGTTGACTTATTTCATTTATACATAAAGTTATCGGTAACTTTTTGTGCCCGACTATTTTACTTTTTCTATCGTTTTTGTCATTGAAAAACAAATGTGTCATTAATTCCTTCATTTACCAAGTATTACACACAACAGAGCACAATCATCAGCATGAATACTGCACAATGCAAACTTCCAACGGGTCTTTTTGCTATTGCATTGTTTCAACAGTAAATTGAAACCATCATCACATCTTGATTGCAATATGATTATTTTCAATTAATTATAACAATTTTCAAAGATTTTGTTCACTTCCTCTCATTGGATGACGTCATAGACAAAAAGAAACAACAATTATTCACCACTCATCACATTGATGAAGTAAGTAAAAATAGTTTCTTACAAAATATGTATGCAATTCGAAACAAACAAAATCACCGGTATTAAAGCGAAAATTAAATTAATTTTGCTGTTCAATTGCACAAGCTGCTGCTACTTTGTTGGTTTATCAAATATAGATAGGAGTTTATCGGGAAATATTGAATATTTCAAGTGAACGAAACAAACAAAAAACAATAATAAAAAACAGACGATGAACACAGAATTAATTGCACACATAAACAAATAAACAATCGACTCGATTCGGCTTCTGATAAACTATGAACACGAGCCGAAGACAATGTTAGAATGACGGAAAAGAGTATCTGAAAACGCAAAGCAAAAAATTTTCAAAAAAAAGGAAAACAAAAGGCGCAAAGGATCGTACGGGGATCGAAGTTATTGCAGGATCAAAAGCTGTCAAAAACGGCAAAACATGGACAAAAACGCTAAGGATCGGATATGAATAAGATTAACAGTTTTTGATGGACCGATGAGATCTTTAAAATGTTATATCTGAGAAGTGCCATGAAGGGTGGTGTTAATTAGGAAAGCACACAAATGGATGAAACAATGATCAAATAAAATCACTCTTGCTGACTTTGTTGATAAATTTACGCAAAATGATGCAGGAAACAGATATTCATGAGTGAATAATTGAAAAATGTAAAAATTCAACAGTTAAATTTCAACTGGACATTGGCCTAATAATGAGCGAAAAAAATGCGTCATTCGGGACAACATAACGTAATCCAGCAGAGACACATCAGGTGAAATAACATCAATTATTATCACTCCTCTTTACTGTCATCAACAACCATGAAGAGCTTCTGTACGAATCGAGTGAATGCATCTGAAATAAATACTTTCAAATATTGACCACTAAATGACTATTAGTTTCGACGCTAACAGATGATTGACATATTCAACTGAAATAACGAAAAACCATTCAAAAAATCTCTATCGCATTAAAAACTCAATCAACAATGCATCTGAGTAAAGTCGCACTAAAAATTATCGAAAATCCTTTAGTGCGCTAAGTTAGACAATCTGCAAAACCATTCAGCAATCGCAGTGGGCAGCAGTACCCTAAGTATTACAGATCAGCTTCGTACGAAGGTTTCTGTTCGCTTCACTAAACGTTTTAACAGTCCTCTAGAAGGTTCAATGAAACGAACAGAAAACAAGCAAAAACAAGCGTACAAACCTGACAATTTCTCAAGCCATTGTGGTTTGTTTTTCCATGCGATAAAAATCAAGTAAACAGGTACTGCAGATAACATGATTGACATTCCAATTGCTGCAAATGAAAAGTGATTACTTACCACTAACCTATCGCCTTTACTATCTCAAAAATTAATCGGTGCTCTTATTCGTAAGAGTATCCACATAGATGGGAACTATTCGTAAACAATAAGATCAGAAAATTTTGTTTGGAAGGGGATAGCAAATGAAGAAGGTTCGTCAAAAGTTTCATTCACTGTATACTCAAAACAAGAATGATATGAGATTTAAAAAGTATCAGTTCAAACAAAAAAAANAAAAAAAAGCGAATTGATGGCTTAGACTCAACAAAGGTAATCGACAAAATGGGCTAAACAGCAGAGCACAAATGCTGTGTCTTTACCTGTGTCTTTCGGTGAGCCAATAATTGGAATGATGACCAATGCAACACATCCCAAGAAGAATACAATTGGGAATATGAGGTTCACCTCAAATTTAGAGATGTGCATTCAATTTGATTCAAGCAATTAATCAATTCAAATGAAACAATTATAAAAATGAGCCGTTGTGAATAGAAAGAACAAGAAAGTGGGAAACGAGGTAACAGATTATAATTCACTTTAATCGGCCTTTCTGCGTTCGGCATCGTTTTACGCAACCAGAATAGTGCAGCGATTGCAGCACCGATCGCTAACCAGTACACAATTTGGATATAATTGATAAGCGTGAAAACGTTGCCAGACAGCGTCAGATATGCTAATGAAAGGAGACCCTTGAAAGATTCTCATTTTTATTGTTATTCTTATAAGAACATACATCATCAAGCTAATTACATTCACTTGTTCTGAATAATTCATTCACACAGTTTGATAATGAACAATTGGATATCTCGTGAATGAAAAAGCTAGACTGATTCGAAACGTTCGCAAAAAAACTGCTGAATTTTCCTTTCCGCTTTCGACGAACAAACAGAAAGAAGAGATTTTAAATGAATACAGTGAAAATGACAGCTGGAATTGGAGTTCGAGTACGTTTGTTGATCATCGTTAAAACCAGTGGCATATGACCCTCACGTGCACCAACATAGAACAATCTAAACCATGTATTCTTTCAGTGGTCATCACTAATAAACAACTAACTAACAGATCACCGCGAAGATGAAATGTTCAAACAATAAGAGAATAATGTCTCAAAAATGACCATACTAACACCAATACAATATTGATAGCATCGACGAATCATTGTCTGCAAGAACTCACTCAATATCGTTCTGTTTTTAATCTCAATCTGGATCTCAACTCTCAACCTCATATTTTACATTGAATGAATTTGTTTGGTATTTTGTAATAATAAACAAATTTGTTCACAACTGAAGTAATCCTATCGAAAATGTGACAGCTGCAGCAGATAAATTGGAATAAATACCAATTCAGTGATTCTGATAAAAATTCAACTTGAGCTGATTTGAGAAAAAAAACAGAGCCATTGGAAATCAATAGCGATGGATGAGCAAATGATTAAATGTTGACATACCTTGATGAAGTAAAAATAACTCCATTTGCTGAACCAACTGTCGAGCACGCCACGAATATTGGCATTACGAAAGAGAACGGACCGAACATTTTATTGGCAAATTCCTGCAGAATTGATTGCGAAAAAATTTACGGACTAGAGATCATTTTTTTGGAAGAGTACGCAAAAGAGATGCTGCACATACGTTTCGCTTAATTACGAAAATCATGTTCTTTTCTTGAAATAACCAACTGCATATATAAAAAAACACATCACGAATAGGATATTGGTTGCATATGTGAGAAATTATTAAAGACTGACCACAGCAACAGCCGGACTCGTGAGCATTTCTTCAGGGCTGATCACTGTGTAGAGTGCCACATTAACGAGCACAAATATAACGGTGCATGTACTGCATGAGATTGCGATTGCCAAAGGAAGGTTTCTGTAAAAAATTATCATTCGTATGAATATATTTTGGCTGAATGATAACAGAAGTTATTACTTAGTAATTTCGTAAGTGCTTTAAAAAACCTGGGGTTACCTCCTTGGATTCTGCAATTCCTCGACGATAAAATTCAGGTAATTCCATCCTTGGTATGCGAATAGACCCGAATAGAAGGCTAACGACGCAGTGCCGATATCAGGAGTGGTATCCTCGAAAATATTCTCAAACGATTCACGGTATTCTGGTCGACCTGTAATATGAGAACGCTTCTAACAAAATGTCAACAGCAACATAAGCGAAACTGTCACCGTGAACAGAAGTGTACATGTAACCCTCGATTGGCGGAACAAACCAAATCAGGAATATTAAGGAAATACTGCAAATATACAAAGGCTTCGTTAATTTCCGGGAAAAGATAAGCTTTGCATGAGAATAGTGAAAAGAGCGATTATAAGGACCTATCAACACATATACGAAGAACAGTGTTCGAATTAATAAAATCAAGACATGATTAATACAATAAAAGAAAGCCAACAAACCAGTGCAAAGAAGAACTGCACCAGTTCCGATGATCAACAGTAAGGCGAATACCTTTGCGACAGTGAAGAAGTCCTGCACCATGGTGGCTAGTCGTACCGACATACAGTTGATAGCTGTTAGAATGACTAAAAGAAAATTGAAAGAATGACTTTTAGAATGACTGAAAATAGCTTCTGTGCAATTCTATAAATGTTTAACAAGATGAAAAGAACTCACTCAAAAGTGTTGTTGCAAACAGTACGTAACTTCCGTCTGGAGCATCGCAATTCGGATAGAATGGTCTAAGCATATAGATGGCGAATGTTAGTGCAACAATCGTACATGTGCATGGCCTCAAACATAATCATTGAAAGTCGACTGTTCAGTTATGAGATGCATAGAAAAAATAGCAAGAGCAGAGGAATATATGCTGAAAACAGCTTGCATACCTGACAACGATTGCCTCAACCCAAAGACGAATAAATGCCAAGAATGGACCAAACGCTTCCATGATATACGCATAATCCCCTCCGGACTTTTTGATAAGTGTTCCCAATTCCGCGTAACAATACGCACCAATTGCGCAAAAAAGACCAGAAAATGTCCACACGAACAAAGAAAGTCCAACACTGCCCGCTTCTGAACAATTGATGACTGTTTATGAATGTATTGATATTACAAACGATTAACCATTTGAATATTATCATTTCATCAAAATCTGATAAACAATAAATTTTCTACTGCAAGATTTCTCGAACAGTTTACATGAACAAGCATTTCCAAGTTGGAAATTACAATCACTATTGCATCTTGTACGACAGCAATCAAATGCTTCGATGCAACTCCGAGCAATAATTACGATTCTATTGTAGCTGAGACAGATTCGTTGTTCTTATGCACGTTAAAAGGTAGCAGTTTTGCACCAACCACATGAACATCGATGAATCATTGAAGTAAAGGTCATGTTTAATTTAAAAGCAATCCTTAATTCTAACTTTCTTGAACTCCAGTTGGTGAGACAAATATACCCGAGCCAATAATACAGCCAACGATGATCGAAACGCCATTGAAAAGAGTCAACGATTTCGCAAGCCCCACATCCTCCTTTTGATCTCCCTTAAGCGGCTCACTCTCTGCCACTGTTGCATCCTTTGAAGATGTCATCCCAAATTTTGTGTCTCCCTGATACGGAACCTATAAACTGCTGCGCCCGTCGTATTCACTATTTGATAATAGTAGCATTGAATCGTTTCTATCACAAGCGATTAGCTACACGATTGATGGGTGATGGCGTGACGGCAAATAATCACTCCGAAAATATCAGGGTAATGCCAAAACTTTGTTCACTGTTTGAATGATAATGGATTATCTGGATTCAGATAGTCCACTATAACAGCACATAAAACAGTAATGAAGAAAACACCGATAAAAACAGGAATAATAATAATAATAATAATAATAATAATTAATAATAATAAATAATTAATAATAATAATAATAAATAATAATAATTAATAATAATTAATAATAAATAATAATAATGATAAATAATAATAATTAATAATAATAATAATAATAAAAATAATAATAATAATAATAATGATA